TTATATTTTAGATATCTAACTGTGACTCATACTATAATAGGAAATGTTTTTTTAGGATTCGTGTGAACTTTGCAACGATATGACTAACTAATGAGAAGTACGTCTTACGTATAAAGATATAAAATGTGTCACATTCTATGTTGAAAATTGAATCTTAGAGTGCTTTATACAGCGTCCCAATTTGCAGTTTAACCCCGTTCATGGACAGTACCTAAATAATAACGCACACCAAAATGACAATACTTTTCTTTGTACCGTAGGGCTTATAATTGATTCAATATAATAATTCTTTTTTATCACTGACAGCTGAGGCCTGATTGTAAATTTGTAATGATTCAAACTTAACTACCGCGTTTGCGTTAAGATTTCTTAACGCAAACGCGGTAGTTAAGTTTACTTATTTGAAAACTTACACTAAGGCCCCTGTACTCGTCAACTTTCTTGTAAAAGAAAGCACGTTTATGATGGTAGTGGAATGATTGCCGTTGTGTCATACTGAATTACCAAGAACATGCGTGTTAGAGAAAATATTTGGTTAAATAAAACTTAATTTTGCGGTTAGATTTTTTAGTATTTTCAATGGCATCGCAATGCAACATTTGGTTAGTTCAACGGCATTGACATGTACTTGTATCACCTCATATAAACGCGTCGGTGTCCACCTATCTTAATGTACATATCTGAAAAATGTATGTTACGTTCTCAAATGTGTGCAAGGAAATCATTAAATTTTGTCAGTAGGTTCGTTTGTAGGGGTACAAAGTACTAGCCTTAGGGTAGAGAAGGCTCGACTCTATGACTGTTTTCAAATATTTACGTCCTGTTTTTAATTCAATTTTAAAACTTAAATTTAATTAAAACCAAAATTTAATTTTAAAACAGGTTGTATTTTAAAACAGTCGTTAAAACCTGAAACATGCTCCCCTGAAATGCTTCGAAATGGCGCTTTCGCCCTTTCTACAAAACACCGACGATATATCTAATGCTTTAAAAACAGTTTTAAGTGGAGTAGGAGTTTTACATGATGATAAATAAGCACGTCCTCTCGCTTCGAGAATTTTGATGAGAGTGATGACGAACCAACGTAAGAATAGTGAAGGGAAAGGAATTCGAGAACGATTCAAAATTTTAAAATAAAGTGGTCAGGAACAAGTAAAGAGGGTGATAAAAAGGTGGGATGACGATGAAGGACGTCAGCATAGTCACACGTTGTTGATACTTCTCTAAGGAGAAGCGGTAGTCGGCAACCATAAGGAAAGCACATAGAAATCGCATTATAAAGCCCATAGTTGGTTCTTGAGATCCATATAGCGAAATTAAATATGACAACATGAAACCTCGTGCTTTCATGTTCTCATATTTAATTTTACGGTAAACGCCTTTATTGTCCATGAACGGGTTCAAAATCGGCAGTTTGTGTAGCTTAACCTGTGACTTATTGTGCGTAATACTTATTACAAAATAAAAAGTACACCGTGTAAATACAGATACAATACACTACATCAAAACAAACTATGCACACGGCGTATTTTATACGACGATTTTATACGGCGCCGTATACACGCCGCTTCCGCGCTCTAGTGAATTGATTCAAACGCGCGCACACATGGCGTTGCAAGCAAGAAGCTTATATACTCCACTGGAGTTTATACTTAGAACTACATGTAGTTGCTTCATTTAAAAAACTAACTGAAATTAACAAACAAAACTAAAATTTCTGAATTAAATGCTCGATACATACGCGCGACTACAGCGCGGCTGCGGCGCATACACGCACAGATGACGCGCGTTCACGGCTCGCATACGCGCGTCGTTCGCGCATATAAAATACGCCATGTGTAAACTCTAAACAATGACACGTGTGACTTCCGATTAATAAAAAAAGGACCTCGAGTGCGATGGTGTAATTGTAATTTACATAATTCATTCATATAACAATACACTAACAAATCGCCCCCACAGCGAGTATATGTTGACGAACAACGTATAACTGAAACCGAACAGTTGTCTGTAAGCAAAACTTTGACGATTGGCTTGCTTTGCGACTTATATTTAAATCACGGTAAATTTTATATCTGTCAGTAGTGTTTTGTAATTTCGTTTTTCAATTGAAATAGCTTATTTTTCAAATTACAATTGAGGCTATTAGCGCGAAAGTGGTGTAAGCCCATACAATGAGGGATTTATAATTAGCCAGATTAATTTTATATATTATTATTATAGTAATAACCACAATATATTATAACACCATTTTTTTCATGAAAACTGCATGCAAATATACTCAGACTACAAAATAAATATTGTTTTGTAATCTGAGTTTAATATCATTTAAAGTAATTTCTTTATTGTTACTTTATTTATTGTATACGATGGATACTGTTCGACACGAAAGCGAAGTTCAAAGTTAGTGCTATGAAATTTTAGTACCAAATACGGCAATGTTCCAATCTTCATACAATAGTTCTCAACGATTATACTATAATGTTACTTCGCGATTAATAGTCTTCTTAACATTTCGATTGGAATACACTAGATTGCTTGGTATCGTGGTAAAACGGTATGCCAAACGGCGTAAGGTACTTCGCCGATTGTACCCAGTATGCGCCTGATTTACAGGAGAGGTATATCGTGCGTGGAGGCTCCTTTTAAAGGTGAAAGTTAGTTCCAGTAACGTTCATTGTTCGTCTCTTTTCTCAAACTTTTACTAGCGAATATTCAATGACAAATGCTCGCAGTGGGAGACGTCACTAACGCAATAGAGAAGGAAAACTTGCCAGGTGTCGTGTGGCGCTTGAGGAAATTAAATTTAGTTATGGTGAACATTAGTACGTTGTTGTTTCCCTGCGGCCTCCCGTTGCGCGTCGGCGCGGAGGGTGGAGTGTCGGACGTATTTATTGCCTCTGGCAAAATTATAATATGAAAAAAAGAAACTATTTACCTAATCTCATAACTATAAATAGCTATCAAAATCAAATTAAAAAAAAAACAATTTTACACAGAAAAGCCGTAAATAATACTGAAGTAAAACAACTGCCCCTTAGGAGAATTCATAAAAAAATGTTTAAGAAAATAACATATACTTAATGTACATATGCCATTAAAGCGGTTTCCCACGGCCCGTTTTTTTCGTTTTTCCGCGCGTCTCCTTTCAAAAGATATATGGTTTACTAAAAAATGCAATACTAGACAACTTTAATCCACTAAGTTAATGTACTTTTATAATTATAATAATAATAACATAGATATTAGCTTAAGTTATAACATTTTCATATTATATTGTAATACATTTTTTAAACCTATGAAAGTGAAGGTCTCAATTTCGATCAGTGTGTGACGCGGCCTGGGCGCGTCCCGGGAAACCATGTGCCTTAGGAAACCAGTTTTATTCGTGCTATATCCGAACTAAAAATTACATGAATCTATGTTTGATTTCTCCGCAAATGTAAAATTATTCAAAAATAAAAAACATATGTTAGTATGTATATACTTATATACAGTAACAAATCAAAAAGAACAGAAATCTCGAAATATAAGAAAATTATACTTGTACATTTCTCAATTTGTCATTGTCGTATCTATAAATAGTGCGCTCGGCCGCGTCATGAATTTTTTCTTCCAACATTATTTTGTTGTTAGCGCGCTTCTTCTATGTTTTTGTAATTTTGAAGTATAGAGAGTCGAGAAAGGAAAAATGTTTATGGCCACTCACTTTCAAACATTGTTATGGCGTTATGTTACGTAAAGAGAAAATATTTTACAATGAGACACTGTTGTAATTCCTCCCATATCTCTTATTGCTTTTTACTACACGCATGAAATTATATTATAAGGTATTCTAACGAAAGATAACCCAGTCGATGAAAGCTAAACAAGTTCCAAGGTCCCATGCGTGCGTGACCTGTTGTACGATTTAGACCATTTTAACTAACATTTTGAATACTAGGCCAAGTATCCGGCTAGGCCTTGTATACCTCACCTACCTTAGATGAAAATATTTACAATTTGTTTTGGATTTGAGAGCTATGTCTAGAGTGGTTTATTGCATTAACTTTTAAACCATTACCTTTTAAACATGTGTCTATCACGAAGATATATATAAGCAAAAATTCTAAAATCTGAACCTTCTTTCTGCAGCTAATGCACTCCGCTTACCTAGATATAGATCCGCGGCCTTTATATCTGCCCTCGGAACGACAAAAGGTACAACTGCTGTGTAAAGTACGCATAGTTGTGTCATTTTTCGTTCCGAGGGCAGATATGTTAACCTCATAACCATTTCAAATGTAATCCTGAAGTTAAAAATGCTAGATTCAAACATTTTTATCCAGGATACCCTGCCTTTACAAAGCTAAGATGGTAATATGGTAATAAGATAATAAAAAATATTAAAATATTCTATTTCTATTGAACATTAAGATGTTTTAACTATTTTTTCATCACACTTGCACGTAAATAGTATGCTTGCATGCATGCTAACTTGACTATAATGCACCAAAAAAAAACCCTCTCATTACACAACCATGGCTGTCTGTAATTTATTCTATTTAGTCAGCCTGTATGTAATTATATTATTTACTCGCAAGTGTGATCACGGGCAGTATGGGAATTACAAGCCTCGACTCCGGAAGCCCTCAACTTTCGACTTCGGGCTTCTAATAAGAGTCTCGTTCGTAATTCCTTTTTTAACAGTCCTTAATACACAATATACTAATAATATTTACCCATTAATTGTAAAAAACACTCCAATAGTTCGTTATTCTTATTAATAAGAAGATCGAACAAATACAAAGATAAATTCCATCGATTTGAATGGGCGAGAACCAGCGTCTATCGACTCAACGTGGCTACCGCTCTGCTAGCTACGGATCGAGCTAGCAGATTTTGAAATTTCTCTGTGTTTGTTGCGGATCTTTGTATAATGAATGGGATTTTAAACGTTGATTAATATTTTTATAAATAATAGTAGGTGATATTAAAGTTTAAAAATGTGCAAAACTCACGGGCAACTTTTTCTTTACTTGGTCTCCAAAAACTCTTAGTGAACGGGAAATACCACGGCATGGGTACGCCGTACATTCCTGGTCGAATTTTCTCCACATACATAGCTATCAGCATGTACAACACTGTGTCTAGTAGGAACATGAACATCACGTGACCTGGCATGTAATTGTCGTGGTATGTTATGGGTTTAAAGAAATCGCCCCATTGTAAACCTACAAATGAAAAAAAAAAAACAACGGTCTAGTTATAGTGGTCATTGGGCATCGAATATATATGAAATGTGATTCCGTTTGTTTTGTAATTAGATGTTTTGCTGCCTCCCTTGTTAGAGATATTATCTTTATTACAATAAATACAGAATATTTTTGGGATATACGGAGACGAACACACAGGTCAGTGGTTGCCGCTGTATTATTTCAGTTTTCTAATTTGTGATTTCTGCGAGACGACCGAAACGAGAATTGATATTTTAAAGTGATACAAGCCGCTTTTGTCTCATGAGTTGCCAGCGATGGATGGCCCTTATTTCGTCTCTATTTTTGGTTATATACTCGATGTATTCCTGGTATTACGTTCGGAAACGAATAAAAAATATTGTTTGAATTTTTTTATGACACCAAGTGATGGGACGAACAAATCATGCGCCCAGTGGTAAGCGACATGCCTGTTCCTAACAGTAGCAGTGCCGTTCAGGGTTTAAATCACAAAGATCTGAGAGGTACAGCCACCGCGCCTGTTACCCTGAGACACAAGTTGACAAGTCTCATGTGTCTGTAATTTCATCAGCACTCTTAGCCTTCAAAACTGGAACGCAGTAATGCTCACATTACTGCTTCGCGGCAGAAATATGTAGTACGTGGTAGTACTTCCCTGGACGGACTCTTAAAAAAAGTGTATGGCAATTGTGCACGAGCACATTCTTTTTGATATAGTTTTTTTTTCTATTCTTTTCAATTTTGTATGCCTTTTGACGTTTGTTTTATTTGTTGTCATTAAAATCGAGGCATATAAAATTTCGTTCAAAAAAATCCCAAGGGATTACTAATTTCTTCTCTTTCTTCCTCCATTCGAAACCATTAGGCAGGCGTCTCGCCAGCAGCAATAAATAAACTTCGATAGAAGTACAAGAATAATTTATTATTGATATAATAGAAATACGAAAGCTAGATGGTAATCCAATCCATGTATTATTTCAATTACTGTGCAATCCACGTTTCCGCCAACGTATGTGGGTCATCGCAATCATGGCTAAAGGTCACCACACGCGTCACTTCCATATACCATACTACCGTATGTGTACGATTTTTATGTCAATATTTTGGTTTGAAGTTTTATTCCGCTTACACGCGTGACTTTTAAACGGCAGACGCTGTGTTCTTTCTTTGTATATACAATAGAGCTCATTATAAACAATGACACCAGTGTCGTCGCAAATTTACTTTCTGATAAACATGATCGTTACTATTACGTATTTCTTACAACTTCATTTAAAAAAATATTTTAGTAGCAGTAGAAGTTCCTTGTGAATTCGTTCAGGGAAATGGTGCCACCTTACCTATTTCCGCTGCCACGCAGTAATGTGAGTATTACCGTGTTCCGATTCGAAGGGTAAGGGCGCGTGTCGACGCTAAGAAAAGTCGCCGGGTCTACGCAAGAATTCGTGTCGTTTCTACACACAAACTGTGTACACTACCTTGGGGCGGAACAAGAAAAAAATCTTGTCTACCCCCGACACGACGCTCTCTGCGGCTATTGTATGGGGTGGGGTGAGGTGCACTGTCAGTAAACGAACGTTTATGCGTTTGGACGGGTGTTGCTTAGTAACCCACATAATAATACAACATATTTCTTCCCACAGTCGGTAGTAAAACGGCAGCTACCTGGAAGACTCGTAACGCACTGATTCATTTTACCCTACGTCTGTCCGAAAGCTTTCTTATCGTGTACATACTCATCATTTTCTCTTCTGCAACAGACACGACATATTTTCGTGGCTAGATCCGACAAACTTCTTGTCGTGTACAAGACCATTCTTATCTTTTCTGTAGCAGACCGGTCGAATTTCTTAGCGTGTACACGCGCCCTGACGGTACTGGTGAAATTACGGTCACGTGAGACTTGAGAACTTATGTCTCAGGGTGACAGGCGCAGTGGCAGTGCCTCTCAAACTTTTACGATTCACAGCTCTGCAACTGCTATAGACAGGTGTGTCGCTTACCACCAGGCGGACTACTTGTTCGTCCCGTTACTTGGTACCATAAAAAAACTATAATAATAGTCAGGTGGTGTAAGAGGAACATATTTTATTCTGGTCAAATGTTTTAAGCTGTTGATCAGATTAAGCTCCGCTGCATACGCAGTGCGCAGTATACGTGAGCTTACCGATGTTAGCACTGCTAGACTAGTTTACTTTAGTTACTTCAATAGTATAATGTCCCATGGAATTCTCATGAAACTCATGGTACCACGATTTCGTTTAAACCAAGGTAAAAGACTCTTTTTTGGGGAAATGTATACGTTTTTACAATAAAATTCCGGAGCATATATTCATTTTCTAAGTTTAAAAACTACATTAAAAATATTTTGATTATATTGATATTACAAAATTGAAGACTACGTGTTAGATAAAGATGTACGGAAAGACGACATAGCTCTAGATTCCACACAATTTTGAGTCAAAGTGTATTCCATAGCATTCAAGTTTATTTGAAAAGAGCAATCCCTAGAGTTTCTTGCTCGTTCTTCTCAGGGAAGTCAGCGTAGTGAACGAGCAGCAGCTTAAATGTGACGTTTTGAAGTCTAAATTAATTTTACCTACGCAATGAATGATTCTTTGACTTTGACAGTAGTAAGTACACTAGACTCGCCTTTGTCTATAAGCTTTACTTGTTTTAACAATCATTAAATTCAAATTCATTACTCACGATGTATTTGCCGAAAACGTGCAAATTGTGCTAACGTTTCCCTTCCCCCAAACGATGGGGAAAGAGGAACGGCCATCTTATTTATTGTAAAGGTAATCTACACCTCGTGTCCTTAAAATTTCACAACTGTCAAATTTGTTTTTCCCGCCTTTTGGATTTAGACCATCGTAGCGAGCGACATCTCCTTAAAATCGTTGAAACTAATTTGTTTGTCTGTTTTATCGACTGAGAGACTATAGTGCAAAACTCTTAAATTATGACTTAAAGCTTCAAGTCAATCTTCTCACGATGTTCCTCTTACTCCACCTGACCCTTCTTACATTTTTAAATAACATGCGCCTAAGGAAATATGAGAGACAAATTGAAATATTTTTTTTATTAATACATGGGAAATAAACACACCTACAATTATATTGGAGCACAAGACGATAGCGTGAGAAAAGACAACTGACCGTCATTATTAAATTGTCTGTTTAGTTCTTTAGAGAACTAAATATAATAAAAATGGGAATGAATTTCAAAAATATTCACTTCTTATGCTCTTGCTTACTTCGCTATCTTCTATCAAAGCTTTTTTTCAAATTTGTCAGCGCAAGTATTACTCTGTTTCAAAGTTTGACTATGGTTTTATCAATTAAAGAGGTTGTTTAGATAATAAACTACTTTAATATAACTACAAGAATTACTCTGTTTCAAAGTTTGGTTATGGTTTCATTAATTAAACAGGTTGTTTAAACAATAAACTACTTTAATATAACATACATTTCGATGTTGTTAATTTTAACTGCTTTGTTTCAAATTAGGTACCAATTCCTATTTATTGAAATAGATACTAGACTACATTTTAAGACGAGACTTTGTTTTTCAAACACTGACTCATTAATAACTACAACTATATGTGCAACAAGAAAAGCACCTAATAATAATATATAATATAATAGTTAACCCCTATTGTTTTCCCTTAAAATTTCACTGAATGGAACAGCCCCCATTGTTATTATAAGATATTCTCTTTATTACAAAAAATACAGAATATTTTTGGAATATACGGAGACTTACACGCAGGTCAGTTGTTGGCGCTGTACTATTTCAACTTTCTAATTTATGATTTCAGTGCAAATGAGGGTTGAGATTTAAAAGTGATATAAGGCCCATGGGCCTGAAGAGTTTCCCGGGATGGATAGCCCTTATTTCGTCTCTATTTCTAGTTATATACTCACTGCTTTTACCGAACAACTTCTGGTAAATTACATTTCTCAAAACTCAGCAGTGCAACCCTAGCTTCGAAGCCACAGCCCTCTGTTTTAGAAGCGCAAGGCCAAACTATGAGCCTACTACTATAATATACCTGGTGAATTTAAATTCGATTTCTTTTTTATTTGTTTTGCAGTGTCACCAGTTTTTATAGAAGGAAAACTATTCATTTAAACATACCTCTAGTAGATCCTTCGCAAATAACTATCATCTGAAAGGCATATCCCATTGCAGTATTCGAGATTAAACTCAAAAGAACTTTAGTCGTCAGACTGATGTCCTCGTACAGCACTTGCGTCATCATGAAAAAGGAGTATGTTGTCAGCCACGCCAAGCCCATGAAAGACGCCGCTGTGTTCGCTAAAAACATAAAACAAAAACATTAATAATATCTATACTATACTACCTCCGCCCGAATTCAAATTTTTCCCGTACTAATACGGTCCATTTTGCTTAGGTCGATTGGCAGGGACACTGGCTTTATTTCAGAATTTATTTTTCTTACAAATGAAATTAAAGCCATTTGAAAAATGTATATCGTATAGTAAACATGTTTAGTTTAGTTCACTTCATATGAAAAAAAAAAATCATTGTTTTTTCTCTATCGTGAAAATTTTTTGGAATCGTAATTTTACACCGTATTGTAATCAATGTATATCTTCAATTTTACAATATATACTTTCCAAAGTGATTGATTCAACACTGTTATGCGGAATCAACCAAAACCATTTGAGGTTATGTAGATTCTTAAGCAGTATTATAACCCCTTGTTATGTAGAGGATCCGTACAAGCGCTGTCATTTTATTATTTTGTTCATTGAGAAAACTTGCACTAGTTTGTTATTATTATTGATACAAAGATCAAACAACGCAAACAAAATTCTTCAATCAGACTCGAACCAGCGTCTGTTGCCTCACGGAGGCCACAGCTCTTACCAACTGAGCTATAGACCATACAGACGATGGAAATTTGAAAAGTCGTATGTGACATTTTCCCTTATGACTAAATGTCCCTTATGACAAAATATAGCTTACGACATTTCGAATTTCCACTGTCGATATAAAGGTAATTAATCATTTTATCGACGTATCGAATTTTAAAATGTCACATTTCAAATTTCCATCGTCGATCGAATATATCGTAGGTCGAATATATCGTCACTAAAAAGTCAGCAGATCTTACGAATTTCTTTATGTCTAGCTGCAGATCTTTGTATTGGGTTAGGGCAGGGTTTTTTAACCTGTTTTTTTGACCATGGACCCCTAAGAGGTCCGTATGAAAAAGTTAAAAACCGCTAATGTGCCGTGACCAGGATCACGGCAAATAAATAGGACACTTCGGTCCACTAAACTTTAGCCATAGTTAAGTCAAAAGGAAAAGGCTGTAACAAGAAACGGTATATAAAAACAGGTACAAAACACTCCCTACTTAAATACTAAACGTGAGACAGACTTACCCCGAAAGGGCCGAGTTATATACTGATTTTTATGTATTACAGATCGGTATTAACATTAAAATTGGCACATGATTTAGGTTGAGAACTGGTAAAAGGATCAAAATTAGACGCAATTAAAAATTAGAGCAGTACGTTGAGTAGGGAATGACGACGGAACGAAACAAAATGAGAATGGCGAGGAATTAAAGAACGACTCAAAATTTGAAAACAAATGGCCAGGAACCAGAGAAAAGGTGATAAAAAGGTGGGATGACGGTGGAAGGAGGTCACATCGTCACACGTGTAATTAACGCCGGAAGTGCGTGGCGAGTTTACCTAACATAATGAAACAGCAACCGTCACACTAACTATTCATATATAATTAAGAGCAAAGTTTAATCGCAAACAATATAAGTTAGTTAAAGCTTAGCTTTTCTCTTTTTGCTAGTTTTTATCTTTTCGGAAACGGTCCGTGTACTCTTTGACATTTTGAGAGGGGTCCATGACTAGAAAAAGGTTAAGAAACTCTGGGTTAGGGCTATATATATAGGGGCAGGCGACATATCTCGTCAGTCTATGGTTTACAGCTACCAGAGAGAACATTCAGAAGTAAGCCCGTATTCGCAACCCACGACCACGCTTGAGAGACGATAGGTCAAACCATGAAGTTGCTTTTCCACTGGCGAGGCGAGACGAGACGAGGCGAGGATTGAAATTTGTATGACAAAATTTCAATTCTCACCTAGCCCATCTTCGGTGGAAATAGTCTGGATTGACGAGAATGGGCGAGTATTATACTCTGCAACGGTAACACGATTTCTCGCGCGAGCTCGTGATGGCTATTGATATCAATCGCGAGATTGTGGGGTACGAACGATTTGAGATCTTTAAAAAAGGTGGTTTCAGCCTTCGTTAACGTATAATAATAATTTACGGCACATATTACTACTTTAGCCGCGTATTTATCACTAGATGAACTGAACAGCACTGAATCTTCAGCTAGCCACAATCACAGCACGAGCTATTAATGACAATTTTTTGTGGGAATAGGCCGGCGAGATTTCAATTCTCGTCTTTCCTAGCCGGTGGAAAACCACCTCTAGGCTACAACGGATTACCTACTGCGAAGGTAATTTGTATCAATAATATATAGTATATAGTTGTGGAAGCAGAGGGTCGTAGTTTTGAATCCAGAAAACAACAACTTTTCAATCTGCAATACGCGACTTAAAAATAAATGAAAAACGACACAGTAACTCAGGATTTGTGTCAAAAAACCTGTTTTAGTACGCAGACTATACAGAATACAGGTTTGTGTGAATAACCTAACCTTGTGACTAAATCGCAGATTAAATGTCTGTTGATTTTATGGTAATTGGCGAGGTACCAAGTACCAAGTACGAGGTACCAAGAGGTTGCATATATACACACATTTATGTAAGTATTTTTTATTAGACGGATAAAACAGTTGTTTTTTTATAATACTAAGAGACGGGACGAACAAATCGTGCGCCTTAGTGGTAAGCGATACGCCTGTCCATAACAGTTGCAACGCAACTCAGAGCTTTAAATCGCAAAGACCTGAAGGGCACTACCGCTGAGCCCGTCACCCTGAGACAAACAGGTAAACATATGTATATTAAAAATAACAGTTTCTTCTATACATGTATATAAATAAAAATAATCACAAAAACTTACAAAGTGTTAATAACAATAAATGTATATGATGAGTAATTAACGAGGCGACGTGTTTTGGATATTATAACGAAATCTATAGATGTCAGTGTCAAAAACATCAATAAAACCTCCAGATTTTGATGTTAGTAATTTGTTATATTTACCGCAACACTAGTAAAAAACCTAAAGTATTGCTTTTTTCTATTCTCGGTGTAATTCAAAAATAAAAAATTAGGGTACTGTCATTTTTTTTATTAATTTTTTATTTCTAACTAATACAGGTTTGTCAGAAGGCCGCAAGTGGACTTTGCGTTCTTACGAATTTCGTAATAAACTTCCAACTGAGAAGTTTATTTCTTAAAGTTTGATTTAATAAATGTTAAACTGTTAAAATTTTTTTTAATTTTTAGCTGTATCTGAATTGTCAAATAATCTAAAATAAAATCCATTTAATTTCATTTAGTCTTTCTTTCAATAAAGGTTGAGTAAGGCTGTACTAGGTCGATGTTAAAATATGTTACATAATTTAATTGCTGCTTCATTTGTAATTCGTATTTATCTGTTTCATATATTTTTTTTTTGTTCCGCTAAACGCCGAACGCCTATGTGTATAATTGATTACACTAAAACTACGAAAGGTTACCATGTTGTAATGTTCAAACCTACCTTCGTATATAAACCTACGTATATATTGTATGTGCTTATGTATGTAATTGTATGTGCTAATGTACTTAAACTAATCGTAGTACACTACAATAATCTATTTTGGAAAACATTGCCGTAATGAGACTACACCGGTCTATAGGCCTTATTTAAGTGTCGCTTCGTTGCTGCGATTTCTGGGAATAATGTCAGTATTGTAAAGCAATTTTCCAAAAAATATTTTATGCCTACTTTAAGTGATAGCGTGATTCGATCATCAAGCTTTAAAACTCGTGGTGTTTATCTCATCCTTTATAACACAGTTACAGTAAATCTGATTATCTGTTCTGGTTTTATCACTTTCTGGACAAATATTAGAGTGTTATATGAACAGCTAAAGGCGGAGGCTTATGTGGATTCGGGGATCTAATTACAAAATGTGTTAAAGTTAAATGAATCATTCATAAGCAGCTCAATGTACCACTTCTTACCTAACTACATACGTATAAATATGCCTTTTCCCTATATCTCATGTAAACAGGCAAACGCGGGTCAAAATATATATATACATGGATTTAACACTACCGTTTATTCATATTATGCGTAGATTTGTTTTTCAATGGCGTTATCAGAAGTTATTACTTTGTGGTTTGGTGATAAGCCAGAATTGCAATTATGGAGGCAGAGTGAGTAACGGACGACGTTACATTTTTCACAAAGGATTTTGACAAGAACGAATGATATTAGTGACAGGTTTTATCTTTATAGATGACTTTTAAATATACAAACGAATAATATTTTAGACCACATACCATAAAAAAATTCTGGTGAAGTTACACAGGCATAGTCGCATGTGACTTGTTAACTTATGTCTCTGGGTGACAGGCGTAGTACCACTCTCACTCAGATCAAATACGGTTTAAAACTCTTGAGTGACACTTCAACTACATGGACAGGCGTGTCGCTTAACACCAGGCCCACGATTTGTTCGTCCCATCACTCAGTAACATAAAAAAAGGTACAGGGCAGTATCCCTGAAAAGTATATCTTTGGAACCGTTAGGTCTTTTTTGTGAAAACAATTTTGACAGTCAATTTTTTTTAAAGCTGTTCGATTCAGTTTGTTGTACTTTATCGAAAGAAAAAATCAGTATAGCAGAAGTTGTTCATATAATTATATACATACCATATTTATTATACAAAGCCATGTGACGAACAATTCGTGCACCCGGTGGTAAGCAACACGCCTGTCCAGCAGTTGCAGTGCCACTCAGAGCTTTAAATCGCAAAAGATCTGACGGGCACTGCCACTGTGCCTGTCACCCTGAGACAGAAGTTGACAAGTACCATGTGTCTGAAATTTCACCATATATATAATTGTGTGTATATTAGTAATTTTCAGGTAAGTTTTTTGTACTCAATTTTGTTGACATTGACATTGTTTCTTTTTATTTAAATATTTATAGAATATCATCATGAAGTATTATTTAATATTCGAGTGTTTTAAAGAATGAGATGAACACCACGAGAATTAAAGCTTGATGATCGAGTCAGGCTACCACTTAAAGTAGGTATAAAACACTTTTCAGAAAGTTGCTCTAAACTA